CTAAACGTTGTGCAATAAAGTCATTTGTATTATCTTTTGAGGTGTTGGTGATGATACAATGCTCACCTTTTAATCAAAATCGCCACAGGATTAGCATGACATTATGTGTGCTTCATTTCGATGTGTATTCACGTGAGAAAAAATGACGAACTGGTTACCCTTCCCTTTGCTATTGCGCCATTTTGTCAAAATTATCATATTTAGACCTTTTCTGTCAACCAGATGTCGATAAAGAATTTTAAAATATACAAAATCGGACTGGAAGGCCATGAAATGTCATAGTAAATTGGGAAGGCTTGGGGGGAGGGGGAGTTATGCGTAGGAGATATTACATACAAAAAAAAAAAAAAAAAAAAAAAAAAAAAATTAAAAATCTTTTGTTATAGTAACGTTGGATATTTGGGAGCAAGGTCTATATAAGTACAGGTCGCGTCACTAAGGGACTGAAATTCGTCCGTCTCGCGCATGACGTCATCTGGAGCAGAGCCTGGGGGTTCCACGCTAATCGCGTGGTCATTCTCTGATGTGAGGTCGAGCCGTAAGGATCTCTCCCTCTCTCCGTTTTCGCTCGCTAGACTGACTGGCGCGCGCAAAGTCACAATGCCCAGTGGTTGGTTGCAGCTTATATATGTACATTTATGTGTATGTTTATGTATTGCCATTATTATTATTATTATTACTATTATTATTGTTATTGTTGTATGATTCGTTTTATAATAAATTCATCAAAAACATTTGTTTACATATGCCATGTCTTTTTTATTTATTTTACGTCTTTATTATGCCATGTTTACGCTGCAACATGAGAATTACAAAACTAAATTCACGTAGAATATATGATATAGGCCTACATACAATCGCTGATAATCATCGCCTGCAAAAACATGTCTAATATGCAAATCGTTCAACGTGCCGACATCTGAAATTACTCAAATATCTGCTCATTTACTACCATTTTCTATCATCTATGTCCCTGCCTACCATGCTCTAATTCCCCCCGCCCCCCTTTCTCTCAGGTCCTTCCAGGTGACGTCATAGGCCTTATCACCCAAAGCTGCGCAGAACTCCGAAGTGACGAGACCTGTATATATTTATTCCCCTGAAATTTCTCTTTTCTTTGTTTGTTTTGTGGGTCTTGCTTTTGATTTTCTTTTAATAATTGGATTTTTAAAAATATACCGCTGTGTGGAAAACTTTCTTAGAGGTGACGGAGGCCAGCGGAGGACCCGAGTCTCTTAATTACTGAAGTAAATATTAAATTGTTCAGCTAGACCTTGTTTGGGAGGATGTAGCCACATCCTCGGAAACTAGGGTGTTTTCAGCTAAAATACGGATTTTAAACTATTTCCCACCTAAATAATAAGAGTAAACATTAATATGTAAGACAAGTAGGGTGTTTTCAGCTAAAATACGGATTTTAAACTATTTCCCACCTAAATAATAAGAGTAAACATTAATATGTAAGACAAGTTTCACCAATAATCCGCGAATGACACGCGATACTTACAAAATATGAGGAAATTAAGAGACCGAAATGCTTATCTCTCCGCCTCGCTCTGTGGTCGACGCCACACTGTCCCCTCCCTCCGCATACGCTCTTGTCATTTGCCTAAACGTTGTGCAATAAAGTCATTTGTATTATCTTTTGAGGTGTTGGTGATGATACAATGCTCACCTTTTAATCAAAATCGCCACAGGATTAGCATGACATTATGTGTGCTTCATTTCGATGTGTATTCACGTGAGAAAAAATGACGAACTGGTTACCCTTCCCTTTGCTATTGCGCCATTTTGTCAAAATTATCATATTTAGACCTTTTCTGTCAACCAGATGTCGATAAAGAATTTTAAAATATACAAAATCGGACTGGAAGGCCATGAAATGTCATAGTAAATTGGGAAGGCTTGGGGGGAGGGGAGTTATGCGTAGGAGATATTACATACAAAAAAAAAAAAAAAAAAAAAAAAAAAAAATTAAAAATCTTTTGTTATAGTAACGTTGGATATTTTGGGAGCAAGGTCTATATAAGTACAGGTCGCGTCACTAAGGGACTGAAATTCGTCCGTCTCGCGCATGACGTCATCTGGAGCAGAGCCTGGGGTTCCACGCTAATCGCGTGGTCATTCTCTGATGTGAGGTCGAGCCGTAAGGATCTCTCCTCTCTCTCCGTTTTCGCTCGCTAGACTGACTGGCGCGCGCAAAGTCACAATGCCCAGTGGTTGGTTGCAGCTTATATATGTACATTTATGTGTATGTTTATGTATTGCCATTATTATTATTATTATTACTATTATTATTGTTATTGTTGTATGATTCGTTTTATAATAAATTCATCAAAAACATTTGTTTACATATGCCATGTCTTTTTTATTTATTTTACGTCTTTATTATGCCATGTTTACGCTGCAACATGAGAATTACAAAACTAAATTCACGTAGAATATATGATATAGGCCTACATACAATCGCTGATAATCATCGCCTGCAAAACATGTCTAATATGCAAATCGTTCAACGTGCCGACATCTGAAATTACTCAAATATCTGCTCATTTACTACCATTTTCTATCATCTATGTCCCTGCCTACCATGCTCTAATTCCCCCGCCCCCCTTTCTCTCAGGTCCTTCCAGGTGACGTCATAGGCCTTATCACCCAAAGCTGCGCAGAACTCCGAAGTGACGAGACCTGTATATATTTATTCCCCTGAAATTTCTCTTTTCTTTGTTTGTTTTGTGGTCTTGCTTTTGATTTTCTTTTAATAATTGGATTTTTAAAAATATACCGCTGTGTGGAAAACTTTCTTAGAGGTGACGGAGGCCAGCGGAGGACCCGAGTCTCTTAATTACTGAAGTAAATATTAAATTGTTCAGCTAGACCTTGTTTGGGAGGATGTAGCCACATCCTCGGAAACTAGGGTGTTTTCAGCTAAAATACGGATTTTAAACTATTTCCCACCTAAATAATAAGAGTAAACATTAATATGTAAGACAAGTAGGGTGTTTTCAGCTAAAATACGGATTTTAAACTATTTCCCACCTAAATAATAAGAGTAAACATTAATATGTAAGACAAGTTTCACCAATAATCCGCGAATGACACGCGATACTTACAAAATATGAGGAAATTAAGAGACCGAAATGCTTATCTCTCCGCCTCGCTCTGTGGTCGACGCCACACTGTCCCCTCCCTCCGCATACGCTCTTGTCATTTGCCTAAACGTTGTGCAATAAAGTCATTTGTATTATCTTTTGAGGTGTTGGTGATGATACAATGCTCACCTTTTAATCAAAATCGCCACAGGATTAGCATGACATTATGTGTGCTTCATTTCGATGTGTATTCACGTGAGAAAAAATGACGAACTGGTTACCCTTCCCTTTGCTATTGCGCCATGCCAGCAAAACGTATATTTTCCTACTTTATTGGATTTTTTTCCTTTTAGTCGGACAAGACCGCATATTTGAGATTTATAATGATCCTTGATAAAGAGACGATACGAAAGCGAGAAAGCTGAGAGACAGCTGTCACTCTCTCTCTCTGTCACTCTGTCTCTCTCTGTCACTCTGTCTGTCTCTCTCTCTCTGTCACTCTCTCTCTCTGTCACTCTCTCTCTCTCTCTCTCTCTGTCTCTGTCTCTCTTTTCTTCTCTCTCAATAACTTACCAATTTCGCTGGTCTATATTTTCCGCATTTTTCTACTAATGAAAACCTACCTTCTAGGTCAGTCAAACGCCGATGGATGTAAATTCTATTGTACATTTGGTAGGCCCGCATGATTTTGAGAAGAACAGAATAAAAGATAAGAGCCGACACAGAACAGCTATAGCTATATATTTTAAGTAGATCATCTATTTTTTTAAATTTGATCATGCGCCATCAGCGGTAGAGGTATTATGCAGTGGAGAGAAGGTGGAAGGGGAAGGGGAGGAGAGTGGAGAGGTGGAAGGGGAAGGGGAGGAGAGTGAAGAGATGGAAGGGAAGGGAGGAGAGTGGAGAGGTGGAAGGGAAGGGGAGGAGAGTGGAGAGGTGGAAGGGAAGGGGAGGAGAGTGGAGAGAAGGTGGAAGGGAAGGGAGGAGAGTGGAGAGGTGGAAGGGGAAGGGGAGGAGAGTGGAAAGGTGGTAAGGGGAAGGGGAGGAGAGTGGAGAGAAGGTGGAAGGGAAGGGGAGGAGAATGGAGAGAGGGGAAGGGAGGAAGTGAAGAGATGGCGGAAGGGGAAGGGGAGGAGAGGAGAGAAGGTGAGTGGAAGGGAAGGAGGAGGTGGAGAGGAAGGTGGAAGGGAAGGGAGGAGAATGGAGAGATGGCGGAAGGGAGGAGAGTGAAGAGATGGCGGAAGGGAGGGAGGAGAGTGGAGAGAAGGGGAAGGGGAAGGGGAGGGAGAGGTGGAAAGGGGAAGGGGAGGAGAGTGAAGAGAATGGGAAGGGGAAGGGGAGGAGAGTGGAGAGGTGGAAGGGGAAGGGGAGGAGAGTGAAGAGATGGCGGAAGAAGGGAGGAGAAAGTGGAAGGGGGAAGAGAGAGAGGTGGAGAGAAGGTGGAAGGGAAGGGAAGGAGAAGGAGAGATGGGAAGGGAGGAGAGTGAAGAGATGGCGGAAGGGGAGGAGAGTGGAGAGAAGGTGGAAGGGGAAGGGAGGAGAATGGAAGGGGAAGGGGAGGAGAGTGAAGAGATGGGGAAGGAAGGGAGAGGAGAGGTGGAGAGGTTGGAAGGGAAGGGGAGGAGAAGTGAAGAGGGGAAAGGGGAAGGGGAGGAGAGTGGAGAGAAGGTGAAGGGAAGGGAGGAGAATGGAGAGGTGGAAGGGGAAGGGAGGGAGAGTGAAGAGATGGCGGAAGGGAAAGGAGAGTGGAGAGTGGAAGGGAAGGGAGGAGAGTGAAGAGATGGCGGAAGGGGAAGGCGGAGAAGGTGGAGGAGAGTGGAAGAGGGCGGAAGGGGAAGGGGAGGAGAGTGGAGAGGGAAGGGAGGGAGGAGAGTGGAGAGAAGGTGGAAGAAGGGAGAGAATGGAGAG